TTATGATGTGTCTTTGTGTGTTCTTCCTTGGGTCCAACTTTTCTGGGACTCTCTAAGCTTCCTGGACTTTCTGGAAGTCTATTTCCTCTGTCAGATTAAGGAAGTTCTTTGTCGTTATGTTGTCAAATAAGATTTCAATTTCTTGCTCTTCCTCTTCTCCTTCTGGTACCCCTATGATTCGGACGTTGAAACATTTAAAGATGTCCTGGAGGTTCCTAAGCCTCTCCTCATTTTTTCAAATTCTTGTTTCTTCATTCTGTTCTGGTTGAATGTTTCTTTCTTCCCTCTGCTCCAAACCTTTGATTTGAATCCAGGTTTCCTTCCCTTCACTGTTGGTCCCTGTAGATTTTTCTTTATTTCACATAATATGACCTTCATTGCTGCCTGGATCTTTTTTATGCTGTTGAAGTACCAAGTGAGTTCCTAGAGCATCCTGATAACCAGTTTTGAACTGTGCATCTGATAGGTTGGCTATCTCTTCATTGCTTACTTGTATTTTTTCTGGAGCTTTGAGCTGTTCTTTCATTTGGGCCATTTTTTTGGTCTTGGCATACCTCTTACATAGTAAGGGGTGAAGCCTTAGGTGTTCACCAGGGCAGGGCAACCCATGTTGATGCATTGTCATGATATATGTGGGGGAGGGTCCAAGAGGAAACAATGCTGGTTTTCAGTCACCTCCCCCTCTACCCACAAGCAAATTTTGCCCTTCTCATGCTGATTCCTGGGTGGGTAGGTTTGTGTATGTTCTAGGACCCTGTGGGTCTCTCCATTGAACTGTCCTGAGAGGCTAGGAGTTTCTCCAGCTGCCACCTCAACTCCCACAGGTGTTTTCAGTCAGAGGCTTTGAGACTTTATTTCCCCACTGGAACCATGGGTTGTGGGTTCTGTCTCCCTCCCCAGTTGTTCCTCCTGGTTTATCTGCACTCAAACGTGGGACCACCAGGTCTGCCAGCCACTGTCTTGCCCACTAGCCACTACCTTGCCTGCCTCAGTCCTCTCTACCCAGCTGTCTGTCTCCGCCCCTCTTACCAGTCTGGATGAATATTTCTTCTTTAACTCCTTGGTTGTCGGACTTCCATACAGTTTGATTTTCTGTCAGTTCTGTTTTTTGTTTTTAAATCTGTTGTTGTTTTGGTTGTGCAAGGAGGCACAGTATGTCTACCTATGGCTCCATCTTGGCTGGAAGTCCTCTGGTGGTTTTCATCTCTCCTCGGCAGAGAGAGCCCCTGTAGCCTTTCACCCCTGGATGCTACATGGTGGGCCAATCTTGGCACCAGTTCTCTGTGTTTGGAAGCAGCGTTTGTGGTCCTGGCTTCTTCACTCCTCTCAAGGGGAAGCTCCCACAGCCACGTCACTGCCTCAGCCCACCACTCGTATGTACGTATGTGCAGGACAAGCCCTTTTAAGATGTCCCTGCCCTTCCTACTGGTCTAGGGGTGGTGTTTTGGTTGTCTCCGGTTAAAAGTCTCCTTCTCAGGTAGTTTTCGGATTAACACAGGTGATTGTTTTCCTCATTCATTTTGTTCCCAGTGTGGTTCTCGGAGGTGGCACATGCTATATTCTCCTACTCCAACACCATCTTGTCAGATTTCCCTGTCAGCTGATTTCTCAGCAGAAACTTTGCAAGACAAAAGAGATTGGCAAGCAATATTCAAAGTGCTGAAAAGTGGGGACCTACAACCAAAATTACTCTACACAGCAAAGCTATCATTTAGAGTTGAAAGACACATAAAGAGCTTCCCGGACAAGAAAAACCTAAAGGAGTTTATCACCACCAATCCAGTATAACAACAAATGTTAAAAGGTCTTCTTTAAGAAGAAAATTAAAAATATGAACAATAAAATCATAATAAATCCATTCTATCAACAGTTGAATCTAAAAAACAAAATAAACTAACAAGCAGAACAGAAATAGAATTATAGATACAGAGAGTATTCTGACAGTTGCCAGATAGGAGGGGTGTTGGGACTGAGTGAAAAAGGTGAAGGGATTAAGAAGCACAAATTTGTTTTGCCATGACTGGTGTGGCCCATTTGGTTGGACGTCATCCCACAAAGGGGACAGTTACCTGTTCAATTCCTGATCAGGGCATGTGCCTGAGTTGTGAGTTTGGTCCTGGTCAGAGCATGTACAAGAGGCAACTGATCAATATTTCTCTCCCACATTGATGTTTCTCTTTCTCTCTTTCTCCCTCCCCTCCCCCTCTCTAAAAATAAATGCATAAAGTCATTTTTAAAAAGTACAAGTTGGTTGTCATGGGATGGTCATAGGGATGTGGGGTACAGCATAGGGAATATAGTCAGAGGTGTTCTGGTAGCTATGTGTGGTAGCAGACAGGTACAGGACTCACTGGAAGGGTCATTTGGTGGATTAGGTGGTGTCTAGTCGCTGGGCTGCACACTGAAACTAGCATAGTGTTGTGTATCAACTGTTACTAAAAAACAAAAAAATGGGTATTAAAAAAAGCACTTCACAGACAAGAAAAGGCTTAAGAAGTTCATCGCCACCAAACCTCTATTACAAAAAATGTTAAAGGGACTTCTCTAAAAAGAAAAAGATAAAAAACATGAATAATAAATGGCAATAACTACATACTTATCAATAATTACTTTAAGTGTAAATGGGTTAAGTGTTCCAATCAAAAGACATAGTATAGTTGAATGAATAAGAAAATATGACCCACACATATTGTGCCTACAAGAGATCCACTTTACATCAAACACACGCATTGAAAATAAAAGGATGGAAAAAGATGTTTAATGCAAATGGAACCAAAATAAAGCTAGGGTGGTAATACTTACATCAGACAGACAAAATAAACTTTAAAACAAAGGCTATAACAAAACAAAAAAGGACTCAGCAATTCTATTTCTGGGTATTTATCTGAAGAAACCTAAAATACTAATTCTAAAAGACATACACACCCCTCTGTTCATTGAAGCATTATTTACAATAGCCAAGATATGGAAAGCAACCTAAGTGTCCATCAGTAGATGAGTGGATAAAGAAGTGGTGCATATATACAATGGAATATGACTCAGCCATAAGAAAATAATTAAATATTGCATCTGCAACAACATGGATGGACCTATAAGGTATTGTGCTGAGTGAAATAAATCATATAGAAAAAGACATACCATATGATGTCAGTTATATGTGGAATCTAAAAACAAAAATGAACTAACAAACTCATAGATAGAGAGAGAGAACATTTTGATGGTTGTCAGATGGGATGGTGGTTTGGGGAAAAGGGTGACAAAGGGGAAGGGATTAATATTTGCAGATTGCCAGGTATAAAATCAGTCACTAGGATGTAAAGTACAGTGTATGGAATATATAGTCAGTAATATTGTAATAACTATGCATGGTGTCAGATGTATACTAGACTTATCCAGGTGATCACTTTGTAAGTTATATGTCTAATCACTGTTATATGCCTAAAACTGATATAATATTGTATGTCAACTGAAATTTAAAAATTTAAAAATGATTTAAAAATAAATAAAAAATACAATGGGAAAAAGAAAAGATCCTTCTCCAGTAAAAGCCAGTGGTTTTTTGTCTGTTTTTAAAATATTTTATTTATTTATTTTTAGAGAGGGGAAGGGAGGGAGAAAGAGGGAGAGAAACATCAATGTGCGGTTGTCTCTCTAGCGCCCCCTACTGGGGACCTGGTTCACAATCCAGGCATGTGCCCTGAATGGGAATCAAACAGGTGACCCTTTGATTCGCAGGCCAGCATTCAATCCCTTAAGCTACACCTGCCAGGGCCAAGGCCAGTGATTTTTAAGAGTGCAGCGACACTGTGTGTGCCTTCTACGCATCTGTGTTACACACACACAGAGCTTTGTGCTGTTGGAGAATCAGATATATTGATGCTAAAATACCCTGTCCCTACTGCTTAAAAGTAAAAGAAACAAAACTGATGCTTTCTTTGAAGAGACTCTTGTAGTCCTACTTAGACAAATTCTTTTCATTAAGCTGTTTTTTCAACTACCCACCACTTTCTGCACAATCATAAAAGCTAAGGAGTGCCTACAAAGAGTTGCTTCTTAATGTCTGCACATGTTTCCTCTGCATAGGTCACCATCCCTGAGTCTCAGCTAAATAAGCATCGGCATTCCTCCCTAGTCTCTGGTTTCCTGAGAGCCTAGGCCACCATGGTGATGCAGTCTCCTCATTAGCATTCTCCTTCTCAGACAGGGGTCCACAGGGGCTCCCAAGCTCCCAGGGAGGGCCATCTAGCTCTCAGTACGCCTAGAGCTCTAGCTCATTTGAGAAGTGTCTGCTTCCAGGAAAGTCCTGTGGCATAGGCAAGAAGTCCCCTCTTCAGCACAAAAGTGTCCCAGGAACCAAGCCACCGGGCTGCCATGGACTCTAGCCACTGTCATTCACTCATCTCCCTAGAACAGGCAGCAAGAAGGGTTCCAGCCCAGGCTCTGCCTCCCTTTTTAAGTCAGGACTCCATGAGGCAGGGCTGTGGAGAGGCAGGAGCACTGACCAAGGGTGAGGGTCTGGTTGGTGGGCTTGGCTCTGCCACTGAGTCCCCTCTAGTCTTACCATCTTACCATCTATAAAACAGGGGTGCTCTGGCCAGGTGATTCAGCTGGTTAGAGCATCATCCCATACACCAAAAGGCTGCAGGTTTGATCCCAGTCAGGGTTCAAAGAGGAGGCAACTGATTGATGTTTCTCTCTCACATCAATGTATGTCTCTCTCTCTCTCTCTCTCTCTATATATATATATATATATATATGTGTGTGTGTGTGTGTGTGTGTGTGTGTGTGTGTATGTATATCTTCTTCCTCTCTCTCTAAAATCAATAAACATATCCTCAGGTGAGAATTTAGAAAAGAGGGGCAGCTGTCCCACCCTTGCCTCTCCCCAAGCCACACGTGAACATGGATGAGAAGATGGTGGCAAAGAGTAGGTGAGGAAGAGGTCCCACACATGCCAGTGGCCTCAAGACACAGTCCCCCACGCAGCAACCCAGGCTCACCTGTCCGAACACATAGAGCAGCCCAATTGTGCCTCCGGTCTGCCCGCCCAGGACCGAGGAGACCATGGAGTAGACACCGCCACTGCCCACGCCACAGTGCTCCGCGACACCGATGCCAGACATCACGGTGATGAGGGCCACCAGGATGACGAAGGATACCAGAAACACTCCCATGAGGACGCCTGTGTTTCCCTGCAGTGGGACAACAAGGAGCAAGGTCAAGGGTTAGGATATGGAGGCCCCGGCAGAGGTAGCCCCTCCAGGGGCACTGACCACCTCCCCCACTCCCCGGGGGTGGGACGACCAGAAAAGGACAATGGCAGCACCATGGGAGGAGGACCTTTCCAGATGAAGGGAAATGTCCTTGCATCTGATTCTTCAGTGACTTCCCATCCCACATCAGGTAAAATCAAAGCTACTGATGAGGCCACTCCTACTGAGTCCCCTCTCCAACTCCCCAGCCTCTCTCATCCCTCTGCAACAACCCCTCAGTTCATTCCATGCCCGCGGCCTGAAGTCCCAAGTCCTCACCCCTCCACCCTCTCACCAGGCTGACCTCCTGCCTGGAATGTTCTTCCTGCTCAATTCCTTCCCAGGGTCTCCCCAACGCATCCTTTAAGACTCAGCGTCTGGGAGTTTCCTCCTCCAGGACGCTGCCTGCACCCGTGCCTCTGGGCTCCCACAGCTCCCACAGCTTAGCAACCACAGTACTCATCACAGAGAGTCTGACTCCAAGGTGGTCTTCACCTGCAGGCCGGGAGCTCCAGCAGGATTATGTTTTATTCAGAGTTTCTACTTTTGCAGCTTGTATATTTTTAATGAAATTGTATCACTACTGTCTTTTTCCTTTGTGTGTGCTTTTAAATTGTCCTCATGTGATAATAAAACATCCAGTTCCAACCTTCAAGTTTTCATACCAAAAGTAGCACTCTAATGATTTTCAAGTTATAAGTCTGATGCTAAATTATTCTTCAGAGTTAATATTGTCCATTTATTATTTTTGTTAGTATTTTTTGTATATTTTTTATTGTTTATGCTGTCACAATTATCCCAATTTCCCCCCCTTTGCTCCCCTCCACCAATATTGTCTATTTAAAGATCACCTGGGCATGGCCTATACTTACTTTAATTTTATGCCATCTCCTAGAAGCTCTATCTCATTTTTGGCATTTCACAGTCTTTTTTCCCATGATCAAATATGATTTTTCAGGTAAAACTAAGATAAAAACTAAAAAACAGATCACTTAAGGCAGAAGGACACACCTGTGTGGCAGGTAGCTTCAAAGGCGGCCCCAGGGAGCCCCACCTACTGGCACTCAAGCCTTTGTGCAGTCGCCTGCCCTTGACTGGGGGATGGACCCACTGACTCACTTTTAATGAACAGAATATTTCAGAAGTGATGGGATGTCGCTTCTGGGATGCAGATCTAAAGACCAGGGCTTTCCCCTTGGGCGCTTGCTTGCCCTCTGTCAGATTGCGGGCCCTGGGGGAAGCCGGCTGCGTGCAATGAGGCAGTCCTGTGCAGAGGCCCACGTGACGAGGCCTGTCAACTTCGCAAGTGATCTTGGAAACGACCCTGCCCTAGGAAAGCCTTCAGCTGAGACTGCAGCCCTGACTGGTAGCCCAGCTACAGCTCTGTGGCAGCCCTGGGCCACAGGAGCTGCAGGACGATGTGTGCACTGCTCTGAGCTGTGAGGTGTTTCGGTAACTAGTTCTGCAGCAATAGATGACTAACATAACTTGTACTTTCACTTTGGGGATGAACTGACACCTCTGGGTTTCTCAAAAAAGTACATAAATAAACAACCCAGTGAGAGGGATCAGAGGAGGCCCTTGAAAATCGGGATAGAGAGATGTTACCCTCCTCTCCTTCCACTACTCCATAACCATCCCTGCAGGAAGCAGAGCCCTGTGGCCCAGGCTGCCCCTGGCCAGGCCTGCCTCCGACACAGTGGTCAGCTGATGGGCCTCCCTTGGACACAGGCCGGAGACATACTTGGCAGTCAAGCAACCTGCAGGAAAAGGCAGAAATAGAGGTCGATCCCAGAAACCCGAGACCGCCACCAGGATGAAAAGTCTGACCTGGAGACTTTGTGAGTTTGTAAGTGGGAGCCCCTGGAAGTTTGGGAGGGGTGTTAAGGGCATGAAGTCTTAGCATCCACACCAGAGACGTTGCTGACTCTGCCCTAAGCTTTCCACACATTAATAAAGTAAAAATCAAACCCACCCTGGATATGGTTAAGGCTGACCCCTGAGCCAAGGCCTTTTTGAAAAAGAGGTGCTTCTTTATTATTTTTAATTCTACTTTAAAATGCTTCTACTTCATTTTTATTTCTCACCTACTTTATTTTTAATTCTCACCATTATAAGTATTGGATTCTGCAAGACCATAATTAAAACTCTTTGGTGTGGGTTATAAATTTATATACAGTTAAGGGCTACATCAAAATATTCAATTTAGGGCTCTCCGATATTAAATTAAGGTTTACATGAACATATGGAGAAAAAGAGTGAGTTAGTTAGCTAGTTAGTTATATGGCTTCTCTGGAGAACACTGACTAATCCATTCTACACCTTGAATGACCCCCTCTCTCTTGCACCTGTCCAGTCCAGCTCACCTTTCAACACCTGGTCTAACCACATCTCTTCCTGGAAGCTTTCCTGGACTCCTTGACAAGCATGCGTCCACAGCCTGTTCCACTCCTGAGAGATTTAATGCTGCTTTGAGACCTCTCTTAGATTCCTGATGTAAAATCTAACCTGCTGGTTCATCAGGGCAAGGGTCTTATATTTTGTAGTCCTATTGGCACCTAGGGGTGCCTGGCTCACACTAGGTGCTCAGCAATGATTCTTCATAAGCTGGCCTTTTGTTCTGAGCAATCTGTCGAGTTTCCTGACATCCCAGGGAGAAGGCCTGTGTGAAGGGCTAAGGACCTGCTCAGGACACACATCTGCCTGGAATGTCCCAGTATGCGTTCATTTGAGACACAAAAATGAGGCCCTTATTCCTTCTACAGAGGAAGACAAACTGCCCCCCACAATCTTATGCAAAAGGTGTGCCCAGGTAATGTGCCCCTGAGTGTAGGCAGTGTGTACCTCTGACCAAGCTCCCCGAACACAGCCTTAAACACGGTCGGTGTGCAGTAGGGGACGCAACCGCGTGGGTGAGGAGCTGGTCCCACCAGGAGGGCACCAGAAGAGTGGAAGAATACCAGGAAAGCTGCAGGGGTCACAAACTGGAAGCAAATGTACTTCTCGCTGAGCCACCTCCAGTCCCGCCCACGATGTTTCCTGAGTTCCGTGCTCACATTTCAGTAGTTAAATCCAGGGTGAGGCCTGCATTGGAGCCTCTGGGTGAGGCCCAGCTTCCCAGGATTCTCATTTGAAAAGCAATGCTAGCTCTTGAGTGTACCTACTTCTTGTTTCATGTTTCTGTGCTTCAGGAATCTGCCCAAGGGTGACAGAGCTTCCCATGTCGCAGGCCCACAGAGGACTCCAGGGCCAATAAGCCATCACTCACCACCAGCCAGCCAGTCCTTAAGAAAAGGACAACCCCAAAAATGTTGATCATGCAGGACGTGAACACACCATCCCAGGTCCCGAACAGCACTGGCTCCCACACGAACAACTGGATCTTCCACCAGGTCTGGGGCTGGGCCAGGTCCCCCTGGAAACAGGGCACAGGGAGGTCAGCTCAGCAGCACCAGGAAGGCCCAGTGAGTGTGGGGGGCGGAGGGGGGGAGGAGTAGAACAGAGGAGGCAGGAGAACTCAGCTTTAAAATACTCCCCTCTTAGGCCCACAGGTCAGGCTCGTATGTACACAGACACAGAGTCTTGAAGGTTGAATCTGCAAAAGGGTCACTGTTCTCTCCTAACAGCAGTGATTCCTGTAGCCACATACAGCAGAGTCTTCAGCAAACCTGTCCTCTCTCCTTCTGGCCACTCCGTAGACCACATTTCCCAGTCTCACTGCAGGTAGGTGGGGCCGTGTGACTGAGTTCCGGCCTCTGGAGTACAGGTCAAAGTGCACTGGCCACTTGTAGGTGAGTGTGGGATTCTGGTTCCAGGTCAGGCAGGGGTCATGAGCTCTTGGTAATGCCATTGTCCCCTATAGCCCTCCAGTCCTGGGGAGGGGGGAGGGGGACAGCAGCTTCTATCACTTCCTAATCTTTGGGTGACCTTCCTTTACACTTTTTGTTCCTCTGGCCCTTCTAACACTTCTGTAATGAATTCTCTGCGTTAAATTTCCTCTGTTTCAAATACCCAGAAAAATGTCTGTGTTCCTGACCAAACGCTGGCTGATACGATGATCTGCAAGCCCCCTTCCGGGATTCTGAGACAACGTACGGCAGTTGTCTAGGATCTGAGGCTAATGAGTAGTTACACAGATACCTTCCTCATTTTTCCAGTTCATAAATAACAAAGGCACTTATGAAATGCTCAAATGAAAACTCTTTACTACAAAGACTAAGCCTTGTGGAAATACTAAAATGATCTTAAACAAAACCAGGAGTAACTCATGCTGTGAACTGCCCTTGCAGAGGCTTAGTAACTAAATCCAGTCATCAGTGGAGTCTTGCAGTGCCCTCGACGACCACAGCAGTGATCTTGACCTCACCCGGGGCAGCGCCGAGACCCACATGCACCCCTGCGTGCAGTGAGTCTACCTGGTGGGTGTACGTGATCTACAAACACAGTAAAGAGCAGAAAATCAAGAGTGCCAGGGAAAAAAATAGAAGGTCAGGGTCACAGGGGCATGGCTCCCAACTGGCTGAGAACAATGGAGGTGCCCATGACCCCAAGGCCAACTATACTTGGTCAAAATAAAAAGGGGGGATCCCAGCTTCTTTTCCCCTCTTATATCATGCACCCACAGACCAAGACATCATCAGGGATTCACCGAAGCCACAAGGGACAGATGGGCCAGGGGACTCCTTGGTGGCCCCTGTCAGTCCCTGACCGCAGCTGGACGTCCTTTTACCTGTGCATATTTCTGTTCATCCACCTTTCACAAGCCACAAGTGAGGAGTCTCCTGAAAGTCAATAACTGTGAGAGCCGTGATCATGACTCAAAGCTTAGGACCCTGCCAACCTCCGCTCGTCCTTGAACAAACAGTGCCAAGGGCCCTGTGTGGTGAACGCAGGGTTGTTTGCCAGGATTCTAATCTCCTAATTCAGGATGTGGTCCAACTTCTTGTCTCTGCTTGTGTTCAGCTTACTACCCACGGCTTGTTATAGGCCTATTTTCATTAGAAACAGTAATAATAATAGCAGCTATCAGCCACAAAGAGGGATTTGGAGAGTGCTTTCAGCTTCCACATCAGTTCCCTCTTTTGATCCTAACAATGCCCCTAGGAAGCAGGCAGGGAGAGGGGCCCTGCGGATAGCCAAGGAAAGAGAGTCTGGGAGAAGAGACGCCCCCGCCCAAGTCCACAGCGGCGTTCGAATCCCCCAGTGCAGACCGTAGAATCTGGACTTGCCCTGCAGAAGTCCAGATAACCACAGGTTACTGCCCTCCTCTCTCCTAGATTTCAATCTTTAAAATCTTACAGGCTAGATTTCATCCTAGCATCCTCTTTCATCCTAGACTTTGTGTTTTCATTCTGAAGGCTGCTTTGCTTATGTGTTTGTTCACCTAAAGTCAAAGTCATATGAAAAGCTTTTCACTCCCTGGATCTCATTAGGTTAAATCAACATTAAAGTGCTTCACAGGTGAATGAAGTAGAAACTCTGGGAGACTCGTAACCTCGAGAATGGAAGTACAAATGGTGTGAACTGGGTTTGGTGGATACACCACAACAGCTTACTTCAAGATGTGCAGGGGAGTATGCCCACCTTTTCTAACCAAGTGACAGAAGAATACAACCAAGTCTTCGCAGAGGCTGCTCATCAGACTCGTGGGAAGAGCCTGAGTCCGACCCCAACCCTGCCATCCTTAGAGAGAGACTGATATAAACCCGGAGAGAGAAACAAAGGCACAGAAAAAGGGACAGAGGTTGAGACAGAAACCCCTAAAATAAAATGCCAAATAGGTGCTTCAGAGACCCTCGATGGGGGCCTCCCCGCACTGACACGCTGCCTGCAGACACCAGCGTGGGAGTGCCAGCTCCGACGCCCCCTCCTTCCCACCTCTGCCTCCGCTGCCATGTTCTCTGGCCACACTACCTGCAGGACACCCTCAGTCTCTAGCTGCTGCTCCAGAGTTAATCTTTCAAGGGAGCACTATCTAGACAACTCAAACCAGCTACCTTTTATAGTGACCACTTGGGCCATGTCTGGAATATTCTGACACCAATTCCAAAGTGTGGGGCTGGACTTGGTGTCAGAATCATACCACAGCCAGCAATGCTCTGGCATAGTTAGATGTCCTACAGTTCAACTCAGTTCTGACATTATCTACTCATAGATAGTGGTAGACCACTCAGGTTAAGGGCTCAGATCGTTAAGACTGTGTCCCCCACCTCCTTTCAGATGCCAACTGCAAGTCCAAGTAGTCACCTTGGCTTCTGACCCACAGGCTAACGATCAGAGGTTCCCACAACCCTCTCCTTGGGTTTGATTAATTTGCTAGAGCGGCTTGCAGAACTCACAGAAACATTTTACTTACTAGAGTACCAGTTGATTACAAAAGGATATAACTCAGAAATAAATAAATCAACAAACAATAAGTTCTGGCGAGGATGTGGAGTAAGGGGAACCCTTTTGCACTGTTAGTGAGAACGCTGACTGGTACAGCCACAGTGGAAAGCAGTGTGGAAATACCTCAAAAAATTAAAAATGGATCTGCCCTTTCACCTAGCGATCCCACTTCTGGGAATATATCTGAAGAAACCCAAACACTAATTGAAAGAACATAAGCACCCCTATGTTCTCTGCAGCATTCTTTACAATCGCCAAGATACGGAAGCAGCCCAGGTGTCCATCAGTTGATAAGTGGATAAAACAACTATAGGATATTTATACAATAGAATACTATTTAGCCATAAAAAATAAAATTTATCCTTTGCAACAGCGTGGATGGACCTGGAGAACAGTATGGTAGGTGAAATAAGCCAGTCAGAGAAAGACGAATACTGTATGATTTCACTCATTTGTGGAATTTAATGAACAAACTGAACTAACAAGGAAAATGGGGACAGACTCATAGATGGAGAGCAGGATGACAACTGGAGGGGGCGGTTCTTTTGGGTTCTTATGGAGACTTCATTACATACCCTTGATTGATTAGATCATTCGCCATTGGTGATTGATTCAACCCCCAGCCCTTCACCCTTCCCCTAAAAGTTCCAAACCTCTAATCACATGGTTGGTTCCCCTGGCCACCTAACCAGTCACCATCCTCAGGTGTTTTCCAAAAGTCATTTTATTAACATCAACAGAATTGTGGTAAAAATAGGTTTGTTATGAATATCAAGCCACTTTTATCACTCTTACCACTTAGAAAATTCCAGGGGTTTTAGGAGCTCTGTATCAGGAACTGGGATGAAAATCTAGTGTAGTTCTTATTAAAACTCACAATATTATAACTAGCTACTCTTCAACCTTCTCTGGCTCTTCCCTGGAGCTCTCTGCAGCTCCCTTAGCCCCTGCTTAGGGAGTGAGGGCAGGTCTGGGGGCTGCGACCCTAGCAGATATCCTGCAGGAGGCTGGGCCATCAGCTGGTCCCCCCACACACGACTCCACAGCCAACTGCCTCCTCTGTGGGAGGGTGAGGAACCCCCTCACCTGGAACATGCCCCCCACAAAGACCATGGTTCACAGACTCTCCCTTTGCATCTCCACCCAGTCGTCTCTATCGCCCAGGGCAGGGGAGGTGGGACAGCTGGACAACAGTAGGTGAGAGCTGGGCCAGGTCTGGGCTGGCTTGTTCAGCCCCCAGGGAGAGGTCTGGTCCCAAATGTTGAAAATTCTCTTTACCCTCAAATTTTGGCCCCAGTCATCAATTCTGAAACAGTAAGAGCCCCATTCGACATTCTGTGACACAGAAGAGGTTGTGGGGAAAGAGATAGGAATACGGCATGTGCTGTGCCTGGTACAGCGTCTACTGGAAAGCAGAGGTGGGGACTAAGAAAAGATACAGGTGGGGCCTGAAATAAAGGAGAGCAGAGAGCCAAGAGGCCCCTCAGAATGCATGCCACAAACATGCTTGAGCGTCAGGGTCCTTTATTTCCTTGCAGGGATAAGCTAGGCAGGTTCCAGGGGCACAGGGCTGGGAGCCTGGACACGGGTGAGCACACCTCCATGCTGCTCACCGCTAGGATGTTCCTTCCCGAGTTCCCAGGACAAGAAGCAGGCCCTCATCCCCCTGAGCCCAGGGGCCTGCCCCCGACAAAGAAACACCATGGCTGCCGGGTGGGTGTTTAGTTTAAAGGTGGGAGTCTGCCCTCGCTGGTGTAGCTCAGTGGATTGAGCATGGGCCTGCGAACCAAAGGGTCACTGGTTCAATTCCCAGTCAGGGCACATGCCTGGGTCGCAGGCCAGGCCCCCAGTAGGGGGTGTTGGAGAGGCAACCGCACATTGCTGTTTCTCTCCCCCAGGCTGTGATGGGAGCGAGCTCATGTCTGGGATCCTTTCTCTGAAACAGCCACCTCCCACAGGCCACCTGCCAGGCCTTAATGAACACATCAGAAATGCAAATGCGAGATGACAGCGTGACACCTTTTCCCT